TCGTTCGGGCTTCATCTTATAATAAACGCGCTCGTCATTCGTAAACATGCGTTCATTATTCCAGAGTCTAGCTTATTCCCTCGTTATTCCAGCACTCATTTATATCGATACTTAATTGTACTCTATGAAAGTTGCTCAGATTTATTTGCTGTGTCATGCTTTCAAAATTTACTGCACTTTATCACAAGTAACAGTCTTATGACCTGCAGCTTTCGGTTTATGCTCTCATTTCATGTAAAAATTAAAACGCTAAGTTGAAAGGTTCGTGAAGCCTTAATTACACCGTCATCATACATTTTGGAGAATTATATTTTTATAGGACATTTACTTATTTTATTTGTTTTTTAAACGTATAGTCGCAAGAACGTTTTTTAAGTTTCACGAAGTACAATTATGTAATCGGACTGTATTCAATATATATGTCAGCACAAATTATTATTATAAAACATATTAAAAAATCGTTGGTACTTATGTATATTGGTAAGAGCGTATCCACAAATGTTATCGGCTACAATTATTTCATATTAAATGGCTGATATAATATGACGTTATAACAGTTATGATTATGATAATCATAAAATCGTCAATTTCTATAGTTCATCAGCTGCTCTGGGTATCCAGGCGCTTATATAGGCCAATGCGTTCACCCAGAACTCTGAGCTCGCTGACTTTGCATACGTGTCATGGCACGGACTTTGCTACATATTTTTAAAAACAATCTTCTTGGATATAGTTTTTCACTATGCAGAATATTAAAATGGTATAGCATTTTGCTAGAAGCTGCGAGAATGTACACAGAATAGTCATTTCATAAAAAAATTGCCAGAATTATTTTTAATTTTGCCTCCCAATACTATCATAGGTACGATACAATGCGACACTATTTATTCAAAGTAAATTTTTTAATTAGCATTATTTATGGCTACGGATTTGGATATTGTCAGAATTTGAACTCATTTAAATTTACATAAAAGTGCAAAACTGATGCCCCCCCTCAAAAAATCTATTGTGCCATGATTACTTAAAGGATTCACACAGTGTCGCAAATTCGCTGCATATATACGGTAATTTTGAACTAGACAAATTACAGTTGAGGTCAACGCACCTGAAATTCATAGAATTAGAAAATTCTACTCACAAATCCTTTCTCTTGCTTAAAAGCGCAAGATAAATCAAAATCCACGCAGATCAACTCAAGGCAACTTTACTGTAGCTCGAAGATTTCAGCCGTTTCCATATGTGGCTGCTGACAGACTAGTCAGTCAGTCAGTCAGTTTCTTCTTGTTGGGCTGACTGCCACGGGCAGTCGCCGTAGCTCCGTTGCCACCGGTTTCGCGCGAAGTCGGTGTTTGCTGCCCAGCTGAGCTCGGTGCTCAGCTGACTGGTCTCAGGGACGTTGACTAAAATGACGTATGACTAAAATTTGTTCTCTAATTGCCCAAATTTAGTCTATATATTTAGGTATAAACCTAAACTTATAGTGTAAACCTAAACCTACAGCGGAGCTACTGTAACAGTGTCTCGAAATGAGCCGCGGCAACATGAAGACACAAGAAATGAGCATGAATAAAACAAGATGGAGGAAAAAAGTCCGCATCGAAGTTGTAAAAAAGTTCAATAGTCAATTATAGGATTTTAAACCTGTATTCTGGTTATGCAAAACGTCGCAAGACAAAAATTGAACGAGAAATGTCATAAAAATTCGAGGTAAGACGAGACATTCCATTATACGAAGTGATACAGACCAAACATGCGGGTTAAGGAAGCGCTTATGATTGTGTTGGATGAAGTATAACAGAAAGGAATTAGAATCGATATGGTTTCGAAGTAAATTAAAATATTGAATGCCGGAAGCGAAAAGTTTAGATCGAAATTATTTTCTGAACAAACTTTCAACACTCTTATTACACTGAAACGTCATATATGCAGCCTTGAACTCAATCTACAAGAAAAAAGGCTGCCTCTGGAATTATGCGAGATATTTTATATTAGTTTGAACGATATCAACACTTGTAAAAGCAAATAACACGTGATCATTACCATTTTTTGATGAATGCCATGTCAAAAAATGACGCGGCGAAAAGAAAAAACAAAGAATTTATTGATTAAAATTTGACACTTACCTTACTCAGACTGTTGTTAGCTGTTAACGTGACCAGCTACTGGCCGCCACTCGCTAGTAGACCTTGAAGCAGCCAGCGCCCTTCTTAATTCTGCATATATAATTCACAAGCTGGAAAATTAGTGGTGGTTATTAATAGCCGGCTGAGTCTCTTTTTCCATACTTGAAATGATGAAACGTGACCAAGTGATGCTAAAAAATATCCGGATAATTGAATATTAAAATAACTGGTATATTTCATTTTGTCTTGTTGTGTACTGTAAAAAATATTTAAATTTAGGAAAATTTACTAAACAAATTTTTTTTACGGTAGCTCTGTCTCGTCTCAGTATCGTGCATCGTACGTACTATTCATGACTCATTCGGTCCTTCGGTCCAACCAAACCCACTAATACAACAATTCTCCAATTCTCTAAGCTAGGTGCAGGCTAAACGAATTCGGAACATTTCTTGTTGTGATTCCAGGATTATTCAGAGCGTTCCTTCCGGGCGTTTCTGGGCGATCCTGGGCTTATCAAAATTCAGTTAAGAGTCGCTGCATAATTTCCCTCAGGGAAAGTGACTGCATCTGAGTGGCTCTCGAGCTTGAGATTTAAAGGAATTATTCCTTGCTTGTCTCAGGGCGGCTATCATATGCAGCCTTGAACTCCATCTTCAAAAATAGACTGCCTCTGGAATTATGCACGATTTTTATATAAGTTTTAACGATATCAACACTTTTAAAAAACATATTATCGGCGTTCTCAAATATTCCTACAATTCGAAACCATTCAAATGTGCGAAACTTTTGTATTCAAATAAAAATTCGAGATAAACAGGTTCAAAATCAATGAGCATTTGAACCCTTGTCTCGACGTGTTTCAAGAAATCACCAAAGAGATTCATTCTTGAAAATTCTTCTCTTAAAGAACGATATTGTCTGGGTCCAGGTGTCAGACTCTCTATTGCCCCATGCACTCATCATTTATCTTGTATTAGTTCATTTATATTGTACATAGGATATGAGATGAAGCTTCCCCTTGTTGAAGCTCGGTTGAAGTGAACAACGAGCGTTGATGGCTGCAACTTTGCCGCCGTTTGATATTCTGTGACAGAATCAGAGCGCCGGCGTTCAAGAAATTTATTCATAAACCGTTTCGTGTTCCGACATTCAGTTTAATGGAGTCGGTGATGGTTTTCAGTGTTAAATTTAATGCTACAGCAACGGTTTCTCTGTTGCAGTTCATTGTAATGAAATTTGTTGAATAATTGTAATCATTCTGAAATCAGAAAAAAGTTAATTTCATGCTTTTAACTTTACATTCGACTGCCAGGATATATTTCAGGTTTTTGATTGATGTTAGGTCGTGATGCATGATGAAGTTTAAAAATATTTCTGTATATTGAGATTGAACCCAACAGGAGTAAATCATGCATATTCCTCGCAAATTACATGTTGTTCTTCATGTAATTGACAGCCGTTTATTTTTTTTATTTATCATTTTTTATTCTCATTATAAGTTGAAATTTATTCGGTAGAAGTTTGGTTGAATGATCGGAATAGTTGAGTTGATAGTTTAGCATACATGCCTCTTTTCTTGTGACTGATAGCTATATTTTTCATTGATTATTTCTTTACAAAGAAAACTTTATTCGGTTGAAGTTTGGTTGAAGGACCGGAATAGTTTGGTTGTTAGGATAGAATGAACATGAGTTTCTTATAAGCTCTTGAGGATGCCTTCCATAAAACAATCATTTAGAAGGCACTTCCATGAAACGGACCAACTGCGAAATTTCATTGACCTTTGAGTTATGTGAATTTTGAGGGTTTACTTCTGCAATTATCCTAAAATTCCGAATCTAGGAGTTTTACCTGAAAGTGAAGATGAATCTCACTCAACTCATGAAATTCCAACACAAAGTGAAAAGTGAAATTTGTTTGAAATTCAGCAAGACCTAGTAACATGTGAAGAGTTAAGATACGCAAAATGGGGATTCAATTAAAATATGTTTTTGCATTTTCAAATTGAGTTTCGGACTGGAATAGAAGCGAGCGAGTGGTCTCCGTAGGGAGCGGTGAGTGGCCGTAGAGTGTTTGTAGGGCCTCGCCGGCGCGCAACGGCCAATTTCGCGATGCAAACTCGACCGAATGGTTGGCCTCTCGTGGGGCGACTCTAGGCTTGCTCTATTTCCCTGGACCTGATGCGCCTGGAAAAAATCCCTGACGAGTGGGAATGACGGCATTTCAGATTGCGCTACTGAAAGGATTAAATGGTTCTTTGTGTCTCCACTGCCGGGTCCGTTATGTCTGTTTACGCAGTGTCCTGCTCGAGGGATTTGTGCCGAGACTCGCATTCAAAACAGGTGAGCTCGACACCAAACATCAGCGATGTTGGTTAACGAGGCGAGGCTGCACCAGCGGTTGCCAGATTCAATGCCTCATTCCTGAAAGTTCTTCGGAAAATTGGCGGCCACTGAATGGCCACCCTCTGACGTTCCAATCGGAGCACATACATTGATTCGGGCGATTTGGATGATCATGCATTCTCCTCTAAGGGAATTTTATGAACGTTTTTTAGCCAATGAGCTCTTACTTTTCATGTCCCTGTGTTTGATGGGGTGCGATTTTCAGGCCAATATCCGAATGACACTCGATCTTTTATACGAAATTACGGATCGCCGGCTAAAGAGTTCATCCAATATCACCACTGAAACGTGTCAAACAGGCTTACTTTTTTGATTGATTGATTAAGGAAACAGCTGAATTCGTCTATGAGCATTTTTACGTTTTGGCCTTATTAAACCAAGTAAAACTTTAAACTGACCGAAATAACATTAGTTGCTCGGTGCAGATGAAACGGGTCCCTGAATAAAACGGTTTATTTTTGCAGGTTCAACGATGGAACGCAGGAATGGGCATGTGGATCGTTGGCCCTCCGCAGCCCTTTCCATGGAGGGAGCGATGGTGCTTAACCCTCTGAAGGCCGTGACCTCAACTCCTGACGGTGGAGACAGCGCGCTGGATGACAAGCGGCCCCTGCTGCTGCCGCCCCTCAGGAGGGAAGTCTCGACCAGAGCGGGGCAGACGGCCTCCCTCACCTGCCGTGTTATGAACCTTGGGTACAGACAGGTGCGTGACAGGCAACTCAGACAGACTGACAGGGACGACCATGTGATGACCTTGGGTACAGACAGGTGCATGACTGGCAACTCAGACAGGCGGCTGACAGGGACGATTAAGTAATGAAGTGATGCACAATACTAATTGAGAGATTTATTGTAGGAAAAATTGGCAAATAAATCCAGAATAAATGGGAATAAAACATAAATAAATACATAGAAGCAGCAATCACGTTATACGAGAGCGAATGAATTGATGTTAACGAATCTGCCTAGTCGTGAAACTCGATCTTCTGCACGGAAATTTAGTCATTCGCCAGTTTTTGCTTAATATGTCATCCTCTTTTATCACAGCTGATATAAATAAAAAGTACAGATCTGCTTGTATTTCTTATGAATTAACTCGGCATCACTCTCCTCATGCAGCTGATGTGGATCAGGGCGCGCGACCTGCACGTGTTGTCGTCAGGGTCGGAGGTGTTCTCGACGGACTCGCGCGTGTCGGTGTCGGGGCGCGAGGGCTCGTGGACGCTGACAATCCGCTACGCGCAGCCCCGTGACGGCGGAGAGTACGCGTGCCAAGTGAACACACAGCCACCCATCGCTCAGTGGTTCAACCTCACCGTCGTGGGTGAGTTATGGACATCAATGTGCTACTGCTTAAAGTACTTGAATGAATTAGCTTCTAATTTGAAATACGTTGATAATAAAAGGATTCTGTCCATTATGACTTGGCTTTCTGAAAAATTATGTTAGGTGCATTGCGTTTGAAAATTGGTCAATCACAAAACGCACACAACATAACAGAGACGACTGAAGGACGATAGGGCGCGCCGTTAAACATTTATTTTGAATTAATCCCCCAGGATTTCCTCATTATTCTAGTGAGAAGATTTAATCGAGATGTTGATTTTAACTGACCGTTGAAGTTAATAACGAGCAAAGAAAATTATGTCTACTGCCTGAGTAATTCATGCGCTTAATTGTTAAATTAAGCAGCAAAGAAATTAAAATTAAGTAATTGGCGATTGAAGCTGCAATTAGAGCACCCGATTTGGTTTATATTAGAGTTACAACAAATCTTCAGCTGAAAATCTAATTACTTTACCGAAGTTGAAAGCAGTTGTTAGGATATTAAACGATATTACTGCTGATCAGAAATGAAGTCAGCGAGCAGAATAACGTATTATGATTGGCAGCGTGTACTGCCCTGGGACTCTTCAAGCTCGCTTTCTTTCCAGCCTCCAAGACAGAAGAATTTTGGCTGGCTTTTTGCCCATTTTGTGCGCAATAAATAAAGGCTGTCCGTCGGGAGCGACACTCGGCGAATATTGCTGGCCTCTAAAGGCCCATGAGCGATCGCGTCATTGAACCTGCCATTTTTGCTCTCTATTATAACTTGATGTGGCTGAAGCGAAATCCGTCAAAATAAGAGTAGAGAAAATATTTTCATATTATTCATAATACTAATTTTTTCAAGTTTATAAAACAATCTTATTATAAAGCTATTTTTAGAGCGTTATACCAGCATATGTTAACTATTTCGCGTTATTCTGGGATTCGCTGTTCTCTAAAATAGCGAATGTCTCATTACACTCTCTAATCATACGTTAAGATTCGATTTATTTCACCCAAAGTTGAAGAACTTCAAGCGAGACTTCTTTAAGAGTTCTTTAAGTCTCGCCGTGTCCATCGAATTCAATCAAAGACTTTCTTGATAGCGAACGTGCGGGCGAGACGAAGATTAGGCGGCGCGACTTGTGGTTCTTTTAAATGCCTTCGAGGGCGGTAGTCGATAGTTCCGCGGAGCTTAAATGTTAAGGAACTATTGCATGGCTTCAGGCCTTTCTTGCCCTGCCTCGAGATTACTGCTACAGACGATAACAGTTATTGACAGAAATGCCTTCTGGCGTATATAGTATTATTTATTAACCACTCTTAAATTAGTTACAGTTCTTGAATGTTGCCGGTATTGAATTCAATGTTTTGACAGAAGAATTTTATTGGAGGTGTTTCCGCCTTCAATATTCTCCGTTTCCCTTCCAGTTCAGTATCACTTTTAATAGGAGCATTTCGAGACTTGTCCACCAAATATGAGACTTGTCCACCAAATATGAGTCTAGTCCACCAAACATGGGACTGCACCCGCAAATATGTGACTTGTCCACCAAACATGAGACTTGTTCCCCAAACATGAGACTTTCCACCATATATGAAACTTGTCCACCAAACATGAGAATGCACCCTCAAACATGAGACTTGTCCCCCAAACATGAGACTTTCCACCAAACTTGAGACTTGTCCCCCAAACATGAGACTTGGGTACCAACATGAGACTTGTTCACCAAACATGAGATTTGTCCACCAAACATGAGACTAGTCCACCAAACATGAGACTTGTCCACGAAACATGAGACTTTACCACCACACATGAGACTTGTCCACCAAACATGAGACTTGTCCACCAAACATGAGACTTTTCCACTAAACATGTGACTTATCCCCAAACATGAGACTTGTCCACCAAACATGAGACTTTTCCACCAAACATGAGACTTGTCCACCAAACATGAGACTTGTCCACCAAACATGAGACTTTTCCACCATACATGTGACTTATCCCCAAACATGAGACTTGTCCACCAAACATGAGACTTTTCCACCAAACATGTTTTTTCATGCCTGCCCGCCGGAATGTGCAATTTTGCCTTTCAATTCCTACGAGCGCTTGAAATGAGGAAAATTCCCCAGGTCCAATGGGCTGGCAAGAAAAACGACGATTTTTAGGCTTCCTGGCCAGAGTTATTTCCATAAGAGCAAAACAAAAGAAGGAACACAAAGCGAACTTTGGATCGCACGTGTCGAATTGAAAAGTTGTCCGAATGTACATGTTTTGATTTTGGCTGCACGCTTTTGTACATGCTAAATGCGAGACGATTATTTTTTCTGTGAATTGAAGGGAATTTTGGTCAATGAAATAATACCTCTTATTATACCGCCGGTAACATGATCATTGCTGGGAAGATAAATCATTCTGTCAGCAAGATTATCTCTCATCGAGCTACTTCTTCTATTGTTCAAACGTAGCCTTTATCGAGCTTTCATCTCTATTGTTAAACTATGATTATATTTAACTACATCTTATAATATTAAGCTAAGACTCTATTCATCCATATCTAATTTTGTTAACGTAGCTTATACCGAGACACCTATGTCATTGTTAAGCTTATGCTTTGTATAAACACCTCGTTTTTGTTTAATGTAGATTTTTCCTAGGCACCACTATTATTGCTAAGCTGTATAATACGTACTTCGTTATAGCACTATAGCCCATCTAGGTTATTGTACACTTAGCCTTCTATAGGTCGACGTGATTGGAATGTATCTTCATATACTCCTTAATATTAAGCAAAACGTCCTAGTTTCAAAGTGCCAGGGTGGGCTAAATGAAGCTCATTTAATTTAATGCTGTAACCCGTAAACTCATCACTGCACTAAACAAAACAAATTACCCAAGTACCTCAGCAGCCCGACAGTTATAAACCCCTGCCGAGATCGTAAATCGAACGTTTGTCAGAAAATTTCGTTTCATGTGATCGTAACTGGTCAGGAAACTGAAGAAGATTAGTAACGTGGAATATTTCATAAAAACGTTACCTTGGAGACCGTATCGCATCTGCTTGTTTGGAAACAATGAAAATGAACGTCGGCTGCACAATAAATCTCTGCTAATGACGGTCGCAGGTTTTTATATTGAAAATGACTATAATAATAACTATTGAAAATAACACGTCCCACAGGCCTGGTGCTGTGGTACCACGACGAGGCGCTGGTGGCGCGTGACTCGAGTCGCGTGCGCGTGGCCACGACCATCGACGACGTGACGACCTCCGTGCTCACGCTCACGCGCGCCTCCCACGCGGACTCCGGCAACTACTCCTGCTGGCCATCGGGGGGCAGTCCAGACAGCATCCAGCTGCTGGTCATCCGTGGTGAGTGACAGCATCCAGCTGCTGGTCATCCGTGGTGAGTGACGGCATCCAGCTGCTGGTTATCCGTGGTGAGTGACGGCATCCAGCTGCTGGTCATCCAGCGTGGTATATATAATCCTAAAATAAGGTTCGGGATTATATTGAATGATTCAGTTGGCAGTCACGGATTTTAGTCGCTCGTAAATTTTCTGTATGTTTGTAAGGCCATCAAAACAAATTGGACGGAATTTCTTTGGCTCCCGCTCTCCTTCCGCTTTAAATTGCCCATCCTGCGCGGCCATACTTGATGGCCGCTAACGATAGCTATTACGAGGCTTGGGCCGCAATGCTGGTTGATTTTGTAGACTAGTTGATTTTTAACTATTAAACACCTATTTTCTCAGAGGAATTTAGGTTTTCTACTAGCATCAGTCACATCAGTGGACCAGGTCTTCCTTCCCGAAGAAATTCATGACTCTTGTGCATTCCAACAGCAGAGACGAGGCAGGTTCTAGCTGCTCCTTGCCCGTGGAGAAAATAATCATACATGATAAACTTCTGGATTGATAGATTAACTGAACGTGGGAACGCACGCATGTCGTTACGTGATCAAACAAGAGTTTCACCTAAAAGCAGCCTTATATGATGCTTTACTTCATTAATTAGTTATCATTCTGTGCATCCTGGATTGCCTCTCAGCACCATGACTATTCGAAACGTTTAAATTATTGACGATTATTATATGTTACATATATCTATCTACTTCAGTCATCAATACAATCGTGTAATTTAGCCAGAGGTATGCACTAGTTAGGCCATATTTAAAGACTAAATTGTTATGTTCAGAATTATGTGGCCAGCTCCAGGCCTTTTCAGTATTACAATATTAATGCACGTAAATAAAAATCATTAATTCCCTCGAGAGTCTCCGTCGGTTCATTTACAGCGGCCAGGCGTAGCGTCCTCCCACAGCCCCACAAGTTCTTCTCATCCACCTTGAGCAGAAAATGTTCTCAAAGATCAGCCCTGCAGAGTAATTTTTCTGGAGCCTGGCGGCCTCAAAATAGCTCTTCTTAATTACAAGCAAAATGAGAAGAACCTCGTCACCGCCTTAAGGTGGTCTAAGAAACACGTCCTTAGTTCAGTGGACGAGCTTAGCTTGACTATGGAGTGACGATGTCTTTTGTATGCTCATCAGCTCATCAGTTGCTTCTATGTAGAGTGTAGACGATCTTAAAAAAAGATTATTTGATAGATAAAAGCAGCAATGATTGTCTAATACCTGACAATCTAACCTCGTCAAAAGAAAAGCACGTGTGACGACGATTCACTTACGTTTTAAGGTGCCCTCTTTAGCAAGTTAATTATAGTCAATAAACAATGGTTTGTTTGCAGGTTTCCTCTCATGTCCACAAAACGAGAAAATTTCACTTATCTAGGTAATTCGATAAGATATTTAGTTATTGTTCGGGCGTTGAAAGAATATACGTGTAAAGTTGAAGCCTGGCCTGTGAAAAAATATCACACAAATAGTTGACTTGGAAGCTTGAGCAAAAGAAGCTCGTGTTCAGCAAAGCTCCCTTGTAATATTCCGAATTATTCAAACGGTATCCATACTACGAAATCCACAAATAATGGTCGTGGATGCAGGCCGCGAGTGCATTGTAGTGGTTTTTGCCGGCCTATTTCTTACGATGGCTCCTGCGTCGCCGCGGAAGAGGTGTCCGCCCGTCCGTCCTCGCCCAGGTTGACTACATGTCTATGAGAAAGACCTCGAAATTCAGGGCCTGTCCGCGAAGTCGGGTCTAATTATAAAAAAATTAAGATTTCCTGGCTAAATCTGCTATTTTTTCATTTATATCTAAGCTCTATTTGGCATATCATGTCTATATTAATATATTTTAACATATTTAAATATTAATATTTCATTATTCAATATGTAATGCAATCGCAATTTGCTGGTGCCCACATTTTAATTTGTTTTGATTCGGCAAGACAAATAATTCGTTTACTTAAAGCATGCCGTCTATTTCGATTATCTCTCGTGTTCAATGTAATTCTCAGTAGCGATTAGCTTTGATTCTTCATTCGGATGCAAATTCCGCGCTAATTCATGTGCATCTTTTGTGCGTTGACAGGAGAGCCTCCAGCGGCCATGCAGCATGGCAACTCTGCTACCCTGCAGCACGGCTCTTGCACAGCACAGCTCGCGTTGACCGTGCTGCTGCTTCATAGTGCTGTGTGGTGCTGTATACACTCGACAAGCTTCACTGGTTCAGGATACTCGGCCATCTCCGTGCTGACTGCGAAGATTAAAACCACAAGAGCCTCGAGCGATCGCCGAGGCGGAGGCGCGGGTAACGAACACTGCGACGCGGGCGCGCCGAAGAGTTGTGGGTCTTCTCTTTAAGCGTCCATTGAAAGTATGAATTACCTAAGCATTGTTTTGTAATTAGTTGTATATTCACACGCATTTATATAGAAGGTTTAATTTTTTATAAAAATTTTCACTGCTTCGAGTATGATTTCGACATCATCTACGAAAACCTCTTCCATGTTACAACGTAATTGAACGATACTGTAGCCAGTGACATCACTATTTCTAGACAAGAATCGGCAGAGACGGCACTAATATTGAGCAAAAAATGTTACGGTCAACATTTTTATCGAACTATAAATACCAGAGACAGCACTATAATAGAGCAACAAATGATTGAGCCTTCATTATTATTGACCAAAAACTTCCAGAGAATGCACTATTATTGATCAAATGCCACTATCTTTTAAAAGTCGCCACTATCTTTTAAAAGTAACTGCTAGAGACAGTACTATTGTTAAACAACATCTGAGAGAAACAATACTGTTCCTGAGCGATAACTGACAGAAACAGCACAACATTATCCCAGAACAACAATTAACTGCTAGAGACAGCACTATTCCTGAAAAACGACTTCCTAAGACAGCCGTACTGGTAGATCGCTGACGCTGATCGACTATACATTCAATACCGCTGTTTGGTTGGTATTAAAACATTGACTTGGAAGTCAGCATGTAAAAAGTTTCTCTAACACAACCGAAGTCTTCTTTCCAGAACTTATCCTCGCAAATATTGGCGCATATTTAAGGCTAACAATACGTAAATACTGTACAGGATAAATAGCAATCATTTTATAATTCGTAGTTCTCACTGTTTGGATAATTGCCGTAAAACGGTATTACCGGTATTTCAGTGGCCGGCCGGCACGCGAAAAAAATATCAAGTCGCAGTTTTCGTTTTCAGTTTAACAAAAAATCCCGTACCACATATGAGAAAACGGCGAAACAGTTTATTTCATGGTACGGCTAGCCAGTAAAACGCCCGTCATACCGTTTTTTTCATGGTTATTTCAAACAGTTATTTTATAAAGTTTTCCTGACGGTCGCTTCTGAAGGCAGCAGCGCACTCAGAATGCTGTGTTCGCCTTGAATGATGTAGGGAAGCTGGAGATCTAACCATCCAGCTGACGTCTTAGGTCCACAGTGCATTTACTGTAATTATTTTATAGAAACGTTGAATGTTTTGTCATTGTCGTGTGGTAGAGTATGGGCTGTCTCTTATACACATCTAGATGTGTATAAGAGACAGTAATTACTCTCTGCACGAATAACCAGAAGGTGCGCTGCCCCATAACTTTGCTCTATATAATCTCCGACTCAAATTTATTCTTAAATAATTTACTTTAGTATTCGGTATAATTTTCATTAAAATACAAGAGCTGGAACCGCTAAATCCGAATAAAATAAAGTTTGCATAATAGTACATTCCCAATCGGGTTTTATTATTAAACACCTATTGCGAGGATTAGCGAGTGGTTTTTGATGACCCAAGCAAGTGGGTTAAAGGAGAAGGTACAAAATTCTAAAGTCTGTGTTCCGGATATGATGGTCACGTTTTCGTTGACACCCATTGGATATGCCTCTGGAAATGAACAAATAAATTCGAATATATGTATATTGCTAAACATCCTTTAAAACGCAGGTTTCGGTGCACCGTCGTTAAGTCCACGAACTTGCGATAAATATTCCTTTCGCGTTTGGTTCTGTTATGGTTTTACAGTAATTTATGAGGCAATTTGTTTAACTAAGCCATGTAGCACACATTAGAGAGCTGGGGGTTTGAAACAGGCTTTGCATGCGTGTACGAGGTCCTGACTTACAACAGAATTTGTTTTATTGCTGAAGTTTATGAGGTCGACAATTAGCCTTAAATTTATGAGGTCAAGCATAATCTCCACTAAATCCCGACTAGCCATTGACTGTGAAGTCCCATGATCAACACAGGAATTACAGTGACTTGAAAGATTGCTTAAACTTGGTTATAAAATTGGGCTCTGCTTTACTAGCGACACCTGGTCCTATACTTTCAAAATTCGCTAAGTAAACGTAAGTACTTACGCTCTATATTCGTATCTTTGATTGGTGGATTATGCTCGAATGGCCGTCAATTATTGGCTGATGAACTTACGATCTCTTAACTTTTTTGAAAGTATAGGCCCAGGTCTATGTGTTCTTTGTTGGCGGTAAAGAATCAAGTCTGGCTCCTCAGCCGTCCGTGTATCGAATTAAAAAATTATAGCCTACCATTGTTCTAAAACTTGTCAGCTCAGAAGCAGATTTCGTAACGAAAAAATAGTGTCACAAACTTCCTTTTGGAAATAAAGTGGCATAAATTTGATATGAAATTTGCCGATATTTGTGAATTATACTGAGTTCATCGTTGTAAATAGACACAGCAAAATTATAACGATAGGTTTGATGATGCATTAGAAACTTTGAATTCGAATGTTTTCCGGTCAAGTTCAGTGCATTTGGTTCAGTGAAATTGTCAGCAAATTAAAATAGGGAATTTATCACGCGATTCAACCGTCGTTCGTTTCTTGACGTTGCGGAATCTTATGAACTATTGATAATTATTGTGGAAGCTTTTGATATTCAAAAGAAAAAACTTTAAAGCCTTAATGGCAAAACAAAGTTAACAACTCGCATTCGCCTCTAAGCTGTTCCCATTTACGCCTACCAAGCCTCCCATTTATCGGGGCAAGTCTGAAATTTAAGGAAGCTTGAGAAACAAAAGTCTACATTTTTTGTTCTCGCCTACAACCATCCAAATACAAAATTTATGCATTGTAAAATTAAAGATAACAACGCTATCAATTCAATTTTGACATACTAATTAAGTACGAATTAGTTAATGAAAGTATTCTAATGGAAATTGAATGTCATGGGCAAACATGTAAACGCAGGCATTATTTGTCGCTTCATGACCTCGCTGTGGCTGAACTGAAGATTATTATATCTTATTTCCTTGGCAAAATAAAATGTCAAGTTATTAATTGAAATATTAAAATGGGAAATTTTATGCTATTGGCTCTCATATTTGGTTAGATAAACGCGTATATTTAAGATTTCTTATTTCGTGACGCGACGCATCAGCTCGTCTGTAAGGAAGGACATCTGTGCACCAATCATGTGAATGTATTGATTCTCAAGTTCAAGAACCTGAACACAATGTGAGAACAACAGAAGCGCATAAATTTCAGTAAATTTGAAATTGAATGAATGGATTCAAAATTTTTCTTATGTAGTTTCATATTTTTTACTTTAGGTTCGGCCTTTGGAGGCGGCATAATATTGTTATACTCTGCGTTCAACTCTGCGTCCGTTCAACTCTGCGTCTACATCTGCTCTGTCCACATCTGCTCTGTCCACATCTGCTCTGTCTACATCTGCTCTGTCAACATCTGCTCTGTCCACATCTGCTCTGTCAACATCTGCTCTGTCCACATCTGCTCTGTCCACATCTGCTCTGTCTATAAAGACAGAAGGTTTTAAAAGTAAATAGCAAAGGAATTTTCTAGCACATTTCTGGACTTATCTTACTAATTAATATAAGAAATAATATGAAATGAATTGAAATTCTTCCTCACGTGATAATTTTATTTTTGATAACTCCTTCTTAGTATAGCGTACCAGAAAATCCCTGATATCTGAAGTCAGGAAATAAGTTATTGTTATTATATTAATCCGGTCATTTGAACTATTGTTGGATAAATCTAAGAGAAGCAATTATGATTTAGTGTTGCGGTGTATACATAATTTCTGTGCACATTTGTGATGCACACTTCATAAGATCCTGTAATTAAATTTTCATGCATCCATGACCTTAACCGCAGAAACTTGATAATATTAATTACGTCGTGAAAATAATTAAATTTTTTCGTTTGTTAGTATTTCAATGAAAATCATTTATTAAAAAAATTCCATGAATGTTTGGGTGTCATGTGTTTTTCCAGTATAAATAAATAAATCATTTAACAAATTTTAATTTGAACCAACGAAGCATTAATATTATTTTTTAGAAGCTCGGGATGTATTTTCTCGTTTGCGGCTGAATTTGAATCATTAACTTACAAAATTCTGGCCAGCATAAAAATATGAACAAAATAATTGAGTTCAGCTACAAATATTCACACGCGATTACATTGGGGAAACTAAACGTAGGCTATTATAAGGCTGACACTGATACAATTTCCAGGCAAATGCACTCAGTCTGAAACAAATGTTCCCGGCTTCCGTTGCGGAAGTTTTGTCGACTTGAAATGACTAACAGTTCTAATGCGATTTCAATAATGAAGCGATGAACGCACGAAACTTGTGTAATCATAAAACAATTTTCCGCTGTTATACCTGCTCATTTGCATAATGCACTTTACACTTGATGCTACATTTACAAGGGAGTATTAAACGAAAATTTCACAACTCGGCGATGGCAATGAAATACGTCATGATTTCGGTGATCACAGGGCGAGTGTCAGCGCATTTCACAATTATGCCCTCACAAAGGTTGTCTGTTTTTACCGGTCTTCCAATCAAGCTGATGCGTCGCGCTCGGCAGCGCCAGTCAAATTTGCACGTGTTGTGCCAGGCGAACCAAGGCTCACATTCAAAATAGGTGAGCTCGACACCAAACATCAGCGATGTTGGTTAACGAGGCGAGGCTGGACCAGCGGCTGCCAGATTCAATGCATCATTCCTGAAAGTTCCGCGGAAAATTGGTGGCCACTGAATGGCCACTCTCTGACGGTCCAATCGGCGCACATGCATTGATTCGGGCGATTTGGATGAACATTCTTCTCTAAGGGAATTTTATGAGCGTTTTTTAGCCAATGAGCTCTTACTTTTCATGTGCCTGTGTTTGATGGGGCGCTATTTTCGGGCCAATATCTGAATGACACTCGATCTTTTATACGGAATTACGGACCACCGGCTAAAGCAATCATCCAATATCACCACTGAAACGTGTCAAACAGACTAATTTTTTTTCGATTGGTTGATTAAGGAAGCAACTGAATTAGTCTATGAACATTTTTACGTTTTTCATTTGGCCTTTTTATACTACGTAAAACATTGAACTGACCGAAATAATATTGGTTGCTCAGTGCAGATGAAACGGGATCCTGAATAAAACATTTTTTTTTCTGCAGGTTCAACGATGGAACGCAAGAATGGACATGTGGATCGTTGGCCCTCCGCAGCCCTTTCCATGGAGGGAGCGATGGTGCTTAGCCTGTCTCTTATACACATCTAGATGTGTATAAGAGACAGGGATTAGACGGCCGTGTACCATATATGGCGCACGATGCTGTCAAAGTGTTAACGCCTTTCTCGTGCTCCAGATGTGTTGAATTAAACAGAAGCTTTTCTTCTCCTCATGTTATGTGCAAGTTGGAGCCTCTCTTATCTTGCAGTTATGTGTAAGCTGATTGTTTCCTTCATTGTCAGTGTTTGTTGAGATGTGCTGCTCNTAAATGCCTTCGAGGGCGGCAGTCGATAGTTCCGCGGCACTTAAATGTTAAGGAACTATTGCATGGCTTCAGGCCTTTCTTGCCCTGTCTCGAGGTTACTGCTACCGACGATTACAGTTATTGACAGAAATGCCTTTTGGCGTATATAGTACTATTTATTACCTACTCTTGAATTAGTTACAGTTCTTGAATGTTGCCAGTATTGAATTAGATGTCTTGAAGGAAGAATTTTAATGGAGGTGTTTCCGCCTTCAATTCTCCGTTTTCCTTCCAGTTCAGTATCACTTTTAATCGGAGCATTTCGAGACTTGTCCATCAAAAATGAAACTTGTCCACCAAACATGAGACTGCACCCTCAAATATGAGACTTGTCCACCAAACATGAGACTTGTCCCCCAAACATGAGACTTTCCACCAAACATGAGACTTGTCCCCCAAACATGAGACTGCACCCGCAAATATGTGACTTATCCCCCAAGCATGAGACTTGTCCCCCAAACATGAGACTTGTCCCTCAAACATGAGACTTGTCCCCTAAACATGAGACTTTCCACCAAACATGAGACTTGTCCCCCAAACATGAGACTTGACCTTTAAACATGGCGTGTGTCCCCTACAGAGGCACGTGCTGAGATCGCAGGCAAGGAGACGATGTACGTACAGTCAGGCAGCAACATCTCCCTCACGTGCACCGTGCGAGAACAGCTCGTCGTGCCAGGTACGGGCGCTCAAATTAAGCAAGAGGGAAATTCATGAAATTTTACTGAGACTGAAAAAATTAGTATATTTATCTTTGATAGTGAAGGTTTATCGAATTGTCGGGACTCATTAAACTTCTTTGCAAGAGAAAGAATTACTTTTATACGTTACGGACATTTAAGTGATTATTCGGGATCTAAAATAGAAAAATTTTAACAACAAACGCATCAAATACGTACGTTATATCTATAAAACCTTACTTACAGTCTTTTTCATCGAACTCAAAGTTTTTCTTTTGTTTCACTCAATGAAAACCAAACTTTCCTCTCGTTTGCTTGATATTTTTCATGCCTGCCCGCCGGAATGTGCAATTTCGCCTTTCAATTCCTACGAGCGCTTGAAATGAGGAAAATTCCCCAGGTCCAATGGGCTGGCAAGTAAAACGACGATTTTTGGGCTTCCTGGCCAGAGTTATTTCCATAAGAGCAAAACAAAAGAAGGAACGCAAAGCGAACTTTGGATCGCACGTGTCGAATTGAAAAGTTGAACGAATGTACATGTTTTAATTTTGGCTGCACGTTTTTGTACATGCGAAATGAGAGACGATTATTTTTTTCCGTGAATAGAAGGGAATTCAGGTCAATCAAATAATACCTCCTATTATACCGCCGGTAACATGATCATTGCTGGGAAGATAAATCATTCTGTCAGCAAGATTATCTCTCATCGAGCTACTTCTTATATTGTTCAAACGATAGCCTTTATATAGCCTTCTTCTTTATTGTTAAACTATGATTATATATAACTACATCTTTTATTATTGAACTAAGACTCCATATTCANTCCACATCTGCTCTGTCCACATCTGCTCTGTCCACATCTGCTCTGTCCACACCTGCTCTGTCCACACCTGCTCTGTCCACATCCTGTCTCTTATACACATCTAGATGTGTATAAGAGACAGGTCGTAACGTGGTTAAACATGAGTTTCACCTAAAAACAGCCTTATATGATGCTTTACTTCATTAATTAGTTATCATTTTGTGCATCCTGGATTGCTTCTCAGCACCATGACTATTCGAAACATTTAAATTATTGACGATTATTATATGTTACATAAATCTATCTAGTTCAGTCATCAATACAATCGTGTAATTCAGCCAGAGGTATGCACTAGTTAGGCTATATTTAAAGACAAAATTATTATTTTCAAAACTATATGGCCAGCTCCCAGCCTTTTAAGCATTACAATATTAATGTACGTAAATAAAAATCATTAATTTCCTCGAGAGTCTCCGTCGGTTCATTTACAGCGGCCAGGCGTTTCGTCCTCCCACAGCCCCTCAAGTTCTTTTCATCCGCCTTGAGCAGAAAATGTTCACAAAGATCAGCCCTGCAGAGTAATTTTTCTGGAGCGTGGCGGCCTCAAAATAGCTCTTCTTAATTACAGGCAAAATGAGAAGAACTTCGTCACCGCCTTAAGGTGGTGTAAGAAATACGTCCTTAGTTCAGAGGACGAGCTTAGCTTGACTATGGAGTGACGCTGTCTTTTGAATGTTCGTCAGCTCATCCGTTGCTTCTATGTAGAGTGTAGACGATCTTAAATAAAAGATTATTTGATAGATGTGTAAGGATTTAGTCATTTATACTACAAAATAGCGGTTATCCCGTCATTACGGATGTAAGTTTATTGCGGACCGGAACTTACTAGGGACGAGTTATTTTAGATATTAGGTTGTTGACTTTACGATCTCATCCTCGGCAGAAGTCTCCTTCTGATCCATATATCATTCGTACATACTGATTGCTGCTGCTGTAATAAAGATTATGTGGGAACTCGTGATCTATCTTCTGTGATGTGCCAAAGCTGATGTAGAGAACCCAAGCGAATTACTACAAGATGAAAGCAGCTATGATGGGCTAATAAATGACAGGCTAACCTGATCAATATATAGAAGAGCACGTGTGATGACGATTCACTTTCATTTCAAGAAGCCCTCTTTAGCAAGTTAATTAATTATATCCAATAAACAATTATTTGTTTGCAGGTTTCCTCACTTGAAGTTTTTATGTCCAAAAAACGAGAAAATTTCACTTGTCTTGGTAATTCGATAAGATATTTAGTTATTGTTCGGGGGTTCAAAGAATATACGTGTAAAGTTGAAGCCTGGCCTGTGAAAAAATATCACACAAATAGTTGACTTGGAAGCTTGAGTAAAAGAAGCTCGTGTTCAGCAAAGCTCCCTTGTAATATTCCGAATTATTCAAACGGTATCCATACTACGAACTCCACGAATAATGGTCGTGGATGCAGACCACGATTGCATTATTGTAGTGGTTTTTGTCGGCCTATTTCTTACGATGGCTCCTGCGTCGCCACGGAAGAGGTGTCCGCCCGTCCGTCCTCGCACAGGTTGACTATGTCTATGAGAAAGACCTCGAAATTCCGGGCCTGTCCCCGAAGTCAAGTCTAATAGTAGAAAAATTTAATATTTCCTGGCCAAATCTGCTATTTTTTCATTTATATCTAAGCTCTATCTGGCATATCATGTCGATATTAATATTTCGTTATTCAATATGCAATACAATCGGAATTAGCTGGTGCCCACATTTTAATTTGTTTTGATTTTAATTTTTACTCTTACGTACAGCCTCAATAGTCTCAGAACAGTGATCATTTTCAACTGGATTGGCAGGATAAATAATTCGTTCTTAAAGCACGCCGGCTCTTTCGGTAATTTCTAGTGTTCAATGTAATCTCAGTAGCGATTAACTTTGGTTTTTATATTCGGAATCATATTCTGCGCTAATCCGTGGGCATTTTTTGTTCGTTGGCAGGAGAGCCTCCAGCGGCCATGCAGCATGGCAACTCTGCTACCCTGCAGCACGGCTCGTGCACAGCACAGCTCGCGTTGACCGTGCTGCTGCTTCATAGTGCTGTGTGGTGCTGTATACACTCGACACGCTTCACTGGTACAGGATACTCGGCCATCTCCGTGCTGACTACGAAGATTAAATGCACGAGAGCCTCGAGCGATCGCGCGGGAAACGAAGACTGCGACGCGAGCGCGCCGAAGAGTTGTGGGTCTTCTCTTTAAGCGTCCACAGAAAGTATGAATTGCCTAAGCATTGTTTCATAATTAGTTGTATATTCACACACATTTATATAGAAGGTTTAATTTTTATAAAATAAATTTTCACAGCTGCGAGTATGATTTCGACATCATCTAAGAAAACCTCTTCCATGTTACAACGTAATTGAGTGATACGGTGGCCAGTGACATCACTATTTTTAGACAATAATCCGCAGAGACGGCACTAATATTGAGCAAAAAATGTCACGGTCAACATTTTTATTGAACTACAAATACCAGAGACAGCACTATAGTAGAGCAACAAGTGCTTGAGCCTTCATTATTATTGAACAAAAACTTCCAGAGAATGGACTATTATTGATCAAAAGCCAGAGTCGCCACTATCTTTTAAAAGTAACTGCTAGAGACAGTACAATTGTTAAACAACATCTGACAGAAACAATACTATTCCTGAGCGATAACTGACAGAAGAGGCACTATACTATCCCAGAACAATAATTAACTGCTAGAGACAGCACTATATTCTTGAAAAACGACTTCCTATAAGACAGTCATACTGGTAGATCGCTGACACTGATCGACTACTTTCAATACCGCTGTTAATTTGGTTGCTATTAAAACATTAACTTGGAAGTCAGCATGTAAAAAGTTTCTCTAACACAACCGAAATCTTCTTTCCAGAACTTATTCTCGCAAATATTGGCGCATATATTTAAGGCTAACAATACGTAAATACTGTACAGGATAAATAGCAATCATTTTATAATTCGTAGTTCTCATTGTTTGGATGCTTGCCGTAAAACGGTATTACCGGCATTTCAGCGGCCGGCCGGCACGCGAAAAAAATACCATGTCGCGGTTTGCGTTTTCAGTTTAACAAAAAATCCCGTACCACATATGAATAAACGGCGAAACAGTTTATTTCATGGTACGGCCAGTCAGTAAAACGCCGATCATACCGTTTTTTCATGGTTACTTCAAACAGTTCTTCTATAAAGTTTTCCTCACGGTCCCCTTCTAAAGGCAGCAGCGCACTCCGAATGCTGTGTTCGCCTTGAATGATGTAGGGAGGCAGGAGATACATCCAGCTGACTTCTTAGGTCCACAATGCATTTAATGTAATTATTTTATAGAAATGTTGAATGTTTTGTCATTGTCGTGTGGTAGTGTATGTGAATGTTTCCCTTTAAATAAAATTACTTGAATATTTTGTTCTTTCTCCTTGTGATTCGTCTGTCTAATTGTCGAGCAAGACATAAAAATGTTAGTTCTCGACGCTCGACGTAATATAAGGCGGCTTTATTTAACAAGCAAATTTAGTGACTTAAACAAAAAGTACGACGACGGACTTTTGTTAGAGAAATGGTCATTACCGGCGGGTTAAGTGGACCACATCAAGACTCATTCTCCCGAATTAAATTCAAATTCTTTTTCAGCAGCATGAATAAATCTCAGACCAGTTGATGTGCATAAAGAAACAATGCATTTCAGCCACTTGAATTTTATCACCCGTGGCCCCTTCGTGACGGTATAATTTGATGTTGCGAGTTATGGGCGCATTTGTTATGCTTCACAATAATGATAGCGAAATGAATATTTTAACTGTGAACTTACGGCTGTGAAGGGTTGGTGTAACGCATTATTTATACAGGAGGTCGATGTCATGATTACTTGTATAGTTCATACGTTCCTGGAAAATAATAATGCTAACTATAGTCGTGCAGCTCGGACATGTAATTTTTGTTGAACCGATGCGCGCCATTTCATGACCCGCGCCACTTCCGCCAGATTGCAGGCGTGTCTCCAAAATACAGCCGTGTGTAGGAAATGTGTTAGGTGAAGACAATTAGACAATTTAATCCTTAAGGCGTAACGTGGATAACACTTTAAAGGCGCTAGTTGGCGCTCCTTTATAACGGATAAAATTCTGTACTCAAGACAAAACTACAAAAAATATAACTCACTCTGCGAACTATAACTGTGAATTTGAACTATAACTCACTCAAATAATTCAAAAAATATAACTACTCTGCCACTCTGCAGTGAGTGACAGAAAGCGCATTTTCTCGTCGACGAAAACGTGATGTCACGGACGGACAGACAGACGGACGGACGGTCATGACGTGCACAATATCGCCTTTTTCCCATAAATGAAAAAATGCGCTAAAAATACATCGGAATAAACAGAGATACGTTCTATAGTAACGGCAACTCAACGGACGTACACTGAATTATCTTCTTCACCATGTAAAAAGGTTTTGAAACACTTTTTCTACCGGCCTTATTGATCAATGTGCGATGTAAATGCAACATGCAAGAAGCTTAATGTCTTATTAGTAATGCACGATCTGTCTTCAAGGCTGGTGATGTTAGCTGCATCATCTCCACTAATGTTGCTCACAAACTGAGCCTCTGATGTGCGGGGTGCTGTTCATCGTGTTCAAATATTATTACTGATAAAGCAGTCCAACAGCTGACTTTTATTATGATACAATATGCCGAACTTGAAATGAGATATTCATCATTACATTACAGTGACATTAGCAGAGCTTCCTTTTGGTGGTAATGATCCTATTTGCTCCAGAGCTTCTTCAATGAGGAGCACTGCAAAGAGGGAAGTGTGACCAAGGATGCGATCTGAACAATAAATAATGAGGCCGTCAGAACGCGTAGGAGGATGAGACGAGCAGTCATTAGACAGGGTGAAGTATTTATATTCAGTTTCATTTTAGAAATGAATTCAGTAAATGCAAGAATTTCACCTTCTCTAAAAAATAAATGAGTGTCGGTGAAAAAAGTGTGTGGCAATTAATTTCAGAGAATTTATTATAGATATGATTTTCACATCAAAACGAAAGAATTGCTTGCTCTTCTCGTGCAAGACTGGCATGAAGTAAGTGTAGAAAGCGAATGATTCATTATTCAAGTCTGCATGTATCAATTACGAGTTTAGAAAGTAAATATCAAGAAAATATTTGTAGATCAAGCGTGAATATTTCAAATTCAATGCTCAACTTTCAGAAAAAATTGAAGATCCTATAAAATCGCTGCAGGACGACATAGAAAATACTCGCTGATGATGCAAAAGGATGCCATCCGACTTTCACAGGACTTGGGGCTGCGATGTATGGCGGAGTAAGGCGAGAAGAAAAGCCCGCACGGCGCCCACTCGAGTTTGCGATGCCGACGCGTCGGGTTATCCATGGTTTTTTGAGGAAAGTTTCGATGGTGCTGGTCTCTGAGCCTCTGGGCCTGCGCTCACCGCTACGCCACGAAAAGTTCTAAGTTTCTAAGTTATTAATAAAGGCCGTCCAGCCTGAGACTTGCTTCATTTGTATCTGCCACACATTCTTGGGCTGAATTACACGGGGAGAAGGATGCTTCATTGAGCCTGGTGGCAGCATGGGTCCCTTCTCATTAATTTCTTTACATTAGCGAATTAGAATGCTTTTCATCATACTAGCTGATTAACTTTCGATGTACGAGATGTTATTATATCATTAATGAGGTTAGCGTGTTTGATGTCTCTCGCTGTGAATATATGCGGTAGCTATCCCAGCCTGACATGCGCCTTAAATTTGAATCAAACTGATAGAATTATGAGTCATTAAAAGAAGTAAATGCTGTTGAATTGGGCTGAAAATTTTAAATGTGATTTATTTAGAACACCTTGTACTTGTGAATGAAAATTAATAATTATTTACTTAAAATTACATCAGTCCTTAAATTATTAACACAAATATGAAACAAAATTATGGAAACGAGATTTATGGAAAAATTAAGGAAAACAGGACTAGGGTGGCTGCAATGAAAGAAATCGGGATAGGAAGAAGGAGATTTGAAAACATCAGGAATTGAAGCTCGAATTATCCTACGTAGCTTTGCATCGAAGAAGCAACGCAAAAAAAAAACATGGCGAATAATTCACGTTTTGTGGTTCATGCCGTGAATGACAGCCGTTAACGCTCTGTGTCACTGGGGGTAGCTGGGGTAGGCGTCGATCGTTATAGTTGAGTCTGAAATGTCAAATTCAGGAGCTGACACTCTATATATAACGTCATTTGCACGGCACTGATATATTTTGTTGTTAAATTAAAAAAAATCATTCAAGATGTTGAAAGGTTAAGTTATACGTAATGGACATAAAGAACGATTCTATCATCTGGCATAAATTTAGTTTCAGTTGTCAACATTAGGCGATATATGTAAATCCTCCAGCCGATGAGAAAACTTCCGAGCTACTGTACTTTAATGACAACAGTAGGCGATCGAGGGCGGCGTAGTAAAGTAATGGGATTTTAGGCACTGCGTCTGGACTAGGCAACTAAAAAGAGTGTAATTAAGTTACGGGGTTTTAGGCACTTCGTCTATGCTAGGCTACTAAAAGGACTGTATTTAAGTTACGGGATTTAAGTTACTTGGGCTGTAGTTGGAAGCCAAAAGTTAAGTGGAATTAGTTGGAATTAGTTAAGTAACAGGATTTTAGGCACTGCGCCTAACTGTACCAGGGAGACAAAGAAAGCGTAATTAAGTTACGGAAGATTCGAGATTCTACGAACTGACGATGGAGCTGGTCTCCGAAACGTTTTCTATATAGATATGATTTTTTGTGGACTATTCTTTGCATTTAAATTTTTAGTTAATTTGCGATTTAAGCAAACAAATGACATCAATTCTTTAGGTTACGCACTTTTAGGCTCTTCGGCTGTACTAGGCAACTAAAAGAAGCGTAACTAAGTTACGGGAGTCTAGGCATTGCGTCTGAAGTAGGTAATAGAGGGCAGCGTACTTAAGTCAAACGATTTTAGGCGATTTTATTCAGCTGACCTCGCTGCTGGGCTGCTCGGGTCGATGGCTAATTACTCTCTGCACGAATAATCAAGAGGTGCGTTGCCCCATAACTTTGCTCTATATACTCCCCGACTCAAATTTATATCTTAAATAATTTACTTTAGTATTCCGTATAATTTTCATTAAAATACAAGA